TGCCAAGTCCTCAGAAGCAGCGGCTACTCCCCCCAAAGCGCCAGCGCAGGAGGTGGTCAACCTTCCCCTGGACAAGGTCCCCGATCGCCGGGTCTACCGTGAGCATCCGACGAGGTCCTTCAAGCGTAAGAAGACTTGCCCTAAAGAGGGGACCACATCGGCACAAGGCACCGAGCTGACCACCGACTCCCTAAGGGCCAAGAAGCCAACTCGGTTTGCCGGGAACAAGGACGTATCTGTGACCAGCTCTTACCTCCTTGACATTTTTCCAAAGGGAGAGACAACACAATGGCCCACCAAAAAGAGTCGAGCCGAGACGATCACCTACAACCTTGGTCTGGTATGACCCTATCACACTTAACTTACACCTTTATTCAGCACATTTTGCAAAATCTATGCAAATCTAACCCCCTGTCCCAAACAGGCTCTGGCCGGCATAGCTCCTTTTCTCGACGAGCAGTTGGACAGCGACGATGACGAGGTGAAATCCCTCAAGGACGAGGTGGAGAAAGGCGAGGAGCGACTTGCCGACCTTCAAAAGGCCCTCAATCGTCAAAAAGCCAAAGACGCCGAGCTTAAAAAGCTTCGAGAGGAAGTTGATGAGCGCGTTGCTCAGGCACACAAGGATGGCCAGGGATCTTTCCTTACATCGGAGGTTGGACTGCACTTCCTCGAGTACTTCCGAGCCGAGCTACTGTCGCACTACCATGACTCCGTAGCATTTCTCAGGCGGATGAGAACGGCTTGCCTCCAGTATTTTCATGAGGGGGTCGTTCGTACCCAAACCGACGCGGAGGCCCAAGGCTTTACCATCTCCATGGACGAGGGCGCGCTATTGAAGGGCGTCCCTACCCCAGCTGGATGGAACGCCGACAAGTCCCTTCCCCCGGACCATCCTTGGTGGGATAGAGCCTTGGAGGCTGCCGTGACTTCTGCTGCGAAAAAGGTCGGGGCAGATGTGGAGAAGATCTACGACGAAATGCCACCTCCGTAGAGCTATATATGATTTCCTTCTGTGTTGAAGTAGAACATTTGAACGCACTCCTTTTATTTTGGCATGTAACCTTGAACTCGTTTTGTCATATGTTTTGGTATGTCCCATGGAACATGTTTTGTCTTTTATAACTTCTATGAACTATCTACAATCACTCTCTGTTGGCACTATGCTTTAATGCGACGTTTTACACTTTGCCGTTACTTGTGTCAATTATCGCACACTTAAATAATTTCTCACTGTACGAGCATCTATATCTCTCTTTTCGGGACGAGCTTCATTCACCAAGTCTATAAAATACTTAGCATCGTGACAATGGGCTTTTGCACCTAGCACAATTATTGCTAAGTCTCTTAAGACTCACCTAGCTCCGCGAGCGTTGGAGAGACTAACAGACTTTCGCCCTACCAAGATCGTCGCCTAGCTCCACGAGCTTAGGTGAGACTGACAGGCTTTCGCCCTATAGAGGTCGTCGCCTAGCTCCGCAAGCTTAGGTGAGACTGACAGGCTTTCGCCTACGAAGGTAGCTCGCCTAGCTCCGCGAGCTTAGGTAAGACTGAGAGGCTTTCAACCTACGAAGGTCGTCGCCTAGCTCCGCTAGCGTAGGAGAGACTGACAGGCTTTCTCCCTATACAGGTCGTCGCCTAGCTCCGCGAGCTTAGGAGAGACCGTCAGGCTTTTGCCCTATAAAGGTCGTCGCCTAGCTCCGCGAGCTTCGGTGAGACTGACAGGCTTTCGCCCTACGAAGGTCATTGCCTAGCTCCGCGAGCTTAGGAGAGACTAACGGGCTTTTGCCCTACGAAGGTCGTCGCCTAGCTCCGCGAGGTAGGACGCCTAGCTCCGCGAGCTTAGGTGAGACTGACAGGCTTTTGCCCTACGAAGGTCGTCGCCTAGCTCTGCGAGATTAGGAGAGACTGACAGGGTGTCGCCCTATAAAGGCCGTCTCCTAGCTCCGCAAGCTTAGGAGAGACTGACAGGCTTTCGCCCTATAAAGGTCGTCGCCTAGCTCTGCAAGCTTAGGTGAGACTGACAGGCTTTTGCCCTACGAAGGTCGTCGCCTAGCTCCGCGAGCTTAGGAGAGACTGACAGGCTTTCGTCCTATAAAGGTAGTCGCCTAGCTCCACGAGCTTAGGTGAGATTGACAGGCTTTCGCCCTACGAAGGTCGTCGCCTAGCTCCGCGAGCTCAGGAGAGACTAACAGGCTTTCGCCCTATAAAGGTCGCCGCCTAGCTCCGCGAGCGTAGGAGAGACTAACAGGCTTTCGCCCTAACTCATTCCATACAAGAGAAGAATAGAGCTGATAAAACTTCAAAACAATCTCATTATTGGTCTCGTTGAAAGAACAAAAGCAAATGCCAACAAACGGAAAATAACACTTCATAAGCTAGGCATAATATTTCTTCAAATGCGATATGTTCCAGGGTCGCGGCAGCAGCCGCCCCTCCGCATCACGAAGCTTGTAGGCACCCCCAGCGAATACCCTTTCAACAGTATAGGGTCCCTCCCAACACTTCCTCTATAAACGGATGTCCACGTGACACTACCACCATTTATCCTTGTACCCGAGCTTGGAGTTCCTGCATCTGAGCTGCCGCTCTCCAAAGTTAACCCATCCGGCTGTGCTACCAGAGGTCGAGATGTCGCCAACCTATCGGCATCCTCATCCCCCCTTTCGCGCTGGGTGCATCTGGTGAGGGTGCAAGAACAACTAATGATGCACGGCTGCCTTAGCGATTCATTAGCTCGCCGATCAACCTCTTGAGCCCGCCCAATCACATCTGCTATGATCTCGTCCAATTCCGCCCTCGTCATATGTATCGTTTGATCTCCTCTTGCCGTCGAGGAGTTGCCTGGGGGGTTGGTTCCTCCACTAAGACCATCTGCTGATTGTTCAGCGGGGCCACTTAACCCGCGTTCCCATCAAGGACCTGGCCGACCTGACCAATTCCTCCACTCGTTGCACCGCCGAGCTCCTTCTCTTTGTTGGTCAGGCCCCATGATTCACGCCCTTGAGCTCCAGGTGGTGGTGTCGGGGTCACACCTGGGGCCAACAACGTGCTCCTTGGGGGTAGTAGGCGACGCGACCACCCGGGCGGCGGCCCTGTTCCAAGAGCCCTCTTCGTCCACGCCTCATCCATATCCTTCGTCAAGTTCTTCTTCGAGTCATCTCCTGCCATGATCCCTATCGCTCTTCTTCTTCAATGAGAGACAACAACCTTTGATACTCCGGTAGAAGACTGAGTCTCTCCACAGACGGCGCCAATTTGTTACACCACAAATACCTGAACCGCTCGACCGCCCCTCTCGAACTGGATTGCGCTTCCTTGATCTTCGGTACCTGCAAAACACGCCGGGGGTTGTCCCGGCATGGACACTCCGACGCTCAAGTCAGTGGTGGTGTTTTGGAGAGAAAGCGGCAGAGTAACGAGATAAAATGTGTATGTGTGTAGTGTAAAATGAATGAACCTGTTCCCTTTTATAGGTGAGGTCATGTACGGGTCGAAGAGTTCTTATCAATCTAGAAGTCTTCCTCGCGTGTATCTCTAATCTGGGTCAGGCATATCCAAAACTTAGAGTCCTCATCACCACAACTTCTTCGTGCCTTGACCACGAAGCCATCTCCAGGCTCTGGTCCCCTCGGCGATGAACCCTCTGGCCGAGCCGCCCAGGTGTCGAGGTTCCTAGGTGATCACCTTATATATTCCGCCAAGGTGACCAGCCTTAGGAATTCCATCTAACCCACGCCGAGCTAACCTTCGCCTAGCTGGTTAAATCACACCTAGCTGACTGGACTACGCCTAGCTCCCATCCACCAGAGGCACCATGGACGCCCATGCCGAGCTCCCTCACCCATGAAGCGACCACGCCAAACTGCCACTAAGTTCGGCCTATGGCCGGTCCCTTATGAACCATTACTCATGGCTGTATCACAGCTAAGGAGCTCGTTTGACTGCAAAACTTCGTGAATGAACTTGAGAGACCTCGGGAGAATGTGGCTCTATACAGTGATAGCCAGAGTGCAATCCATCTGGCAAAGAACCCCGTGTTTCACTCGCGAACTAAACACATCGAGGTTAAGTATCATTTCATCTGGATACTTCTAGAGAAGAAGGTGTTGCAGCTAAAAAAGGTTCCGGGAGAGAGAAATCCTGCAGACATGTTAACCAAGGCGGTAACTTTGGAAAAGTTGAAGCTGTGTGCAGCTTCGACCGACCTTGATGATTAAAACAGACAGACCCGGCAGAACCAGGGGCAGAGATGAACAGGTTGACCAATCTTCAAGTGGGATATTGTTGAGGTGTGAAGATTAGTCAAAGGAAGGGAGCTTCCTCATAACTTCCTGGGCAAAGAAAGGGAACTTTCTCGTAAGTTCCTGGGCAAAGAAAGGGAACTTCCTCGTAAGTTCCTAGTCAAAGGAAGGGAGCTTTCTCGCAACTTCCTGGTCAAAGAAAGGGAGCTTCCTCGCAACTTCCTCGCAAGAAGAATTTGTTTGGCTATAAATACCTCATTTTGTAACCTCATTTGCATCCAATCCAAGTGAAAGAAAGAAACACATAAGTGTAGAAAAAGAGTCGATAGAGTGTATTCATACGGGTTTGTGTGAGTTGTAACAAAGCACCACCCTAATTCCAATTTCGTTCGCTTCTTCAAACAAATATAAATAATGCAAGCGCCCGAGAACAGGATGGAAAGCTTTGCAGGTTGCAATAAATAGTTGCAATTATAGCGGAAAAAACCATAAAATAACATAAATGCCCCTACGCTCACTCGGTTTATCCTCTTCTTTTAGTTCATTCTCCTGGCTTGGTTCGCCCCCAGACGTAGGATTTATTCCGAACTGGGTTAACAAATCTTCGTGTCTTTTATTAATTTCACATTGGTATGTTGTTGTTATTCCATCTTACCCGACCTTATTTCCCAATACCACCACCACACGCACAAGCAGTATTCAACCTTCCCTTACCACCCTTCACTATTCCTCCACGAATATGAGAAAACGAAGCAGGATTCTCAAAACTCCGCCATCGTTATAAATGACGCGGTCGAGGACGCATTTGCTTTCGGCGTCTTGCAACTTTCTACAAACATTATCCTCACCAAGACGTACCGAGGAGTCGAGGGCAAGTACATGGACTATCTTTCGACACTCTGCGCTCGTAAAATCGTGCCGACGGGCCCGCTCATCAACAATATTGTTGTTGGGGAGTTTGAAGGCGAAAAAGTGGCGGCGGCTGTGGAAGAAGTTTTTTTTGGTGGGGAGAGGTTTAGGGAGAGGGCGAGGGAGCTGAGCAAGAAGATGAGAGCGGAGGAAGAGGAGGAGAATGGTTATGAGGTGGCCGACGAGTTAAGAAACTTGATTCTTCAGAATGTGAAACCGAGCACGGGTACTGTTATTTCGAGTGCATGACAAAGTTTGGTGGAAAGTGTCACACCCCGCCTCACTACTAGCTTTGAAAAATCAGAGTAAAATTTTTGTTTTTATTTTTGAAAGAATGTGCGAGCTGGGTTTTCGAAAATACTGACTTATTGCGGGATGTGGCAGATAAAAACTTAAACTGAACTCGGGCTTGCCCGCAGACATAATAAAAACATGCAACCAGACTATCCGCTCGCGGATTATTGGAATTATACATGCATAGTCTGTACTGTCTCGCACTGTCTAGAAAACTCGCTGGCGGAAGCATCCGAAATACGAATACATAACATGCGTACATAAACTGAATAAAATACACATGATCATAAATCTAGGACATAAAAATGCTTGTAAAATATGTCCGACTCTCATGACCATGCTGCGCCACATCTGTGCTCATCCGGCACGCTCGACTCCGTCTCCTAAAAAACACAATGGGGGCGTGAGCAAACCACTATGCTCCGCAAAGACAAGTACTGAACAAAACATCATTTATAATAACGTATCATGAAACATAAATATATAAGAGCTGAAACTGTAAACTGATCTCTGATGTCTGTTCTGATCTGTGGTCAAAAGACCCTCGGCCGTAGCCGCTCGTGTGCACACGCCGATGGGGTATAAAGGGCCTCGCCCCTCCCAACGGACATCAGGTAGGTATAAAGGCCTCGGCCACCCAACCCGGAACTAAACTGTCTCAAACATACCTCTGCCATGGTACAGATATTATCTATGATGTGACATCCAGTACATGACCCCCACCTGAAAAACTTGAAATCTGGTATGCAAGTGCGGAAGCTGGAGTAGCGGTCGGAGGCTCGACTCTCCTTAGGCTACATAAATATTTAAGCAAAATAATGCTAAGTATAATGCTCAGAGTATTTAATTATATGCTAAAATGCTTGGACTTATCTACGCAATTAAACTGGACTGGATTGGCTCGGAAAAATACTGAAATTTCCGGTACTGGACTCGGATCAGAAATCACGAATCACAACTGACTCGAACCGCCGGTCGAACCGGCCGGTTCGCTGGCTGGCCGGACCGCCGGCTCGACTGGGCCGGGCGGTCGGGCTGGGTTCGGCTAGACCGGGCTCGGTCCCGTGCCGGGCCAGCTGGTGCCCGGGCACGGCGCTGGGCACGGCTGGTGCGACCGGGCTCGGTCCCTGGTGCCGCTGGAC